GGGGGGGGGAAACTGAGGCACCCACAGATACACTTTACTTAGTGCAATCCCAGGGGCAGGGACAGTTTCTTCTTCATTCTGTGTTTAGGCAGCGCCTGGCACAAAGGGGACCCTACATGTTCCCACCACACAAGGGATCCAGCACTATTGAGGCCAGTGTTTGCAGAGGTCTCCACTAACTGTGGACATCTCGGTTTGTGGGTACTTGGCCTGAGATTCCTCAAGATTGAGGCCCCCACACAGAGAAGGACACTATTGGAAACCGCGACGTGCTCCCATCACACAGAGTCTGTGGCCGCGCCAGGGGCTGGGCCAGATCTCCTGGGTCCCAGCCCAGCGCCGTGTCCACCAAGCCACTGCTTCTCCTGCAGCCCCTGCCTCATTCAGCCCCAACCAGGGCACTGCCTGGGGCAGGGCCAGGAGCACACAGGGGATGGGATCATGGGGTTAAATAGCGACTCACGGTTCCTACGCACAAGGGGCAGCATTAAAGTCGCCTCCCTGCCCCGATTCTCCAGGGGCTGCTGCTCTCCCCTGGCTGGGGAACCCCCCAGTGACTCTGTCCCCGCTCCCCGGCCGGGCGTCCCCTCTGTGGGGTCAGGGCTCAGGGCAGAGCCTGGCTCTGAGCATCCCGTTGGCACCGAGCCCCACACAGGAAGGGAGCATCCCCACACAGGATGGGCAGCCCCTGGGCCCTGACTCCTTTGAGTGCCCCCAGTGCAGGGGCAACTGGGGGAGCGTCCCCTGGCAAAGCCCCCCTGCTCTGCAGCTCCCCCTGGGGGCAGGGATCCCCCCCCCTCAGCCCTTAACCTCCAGGAGCTGCTGCTCCCCCCTGGCTGGGGAACCCCCCAGTGACACTGTCCCCGCCCCTGTCCAGGCGAGCCCTAGGGCTCTGGGCAGAGCCTGGCTCTGAGCATCCCATCAGGGTGCCGACCTTCTGAGGGTCCGGCTGGGAGAGGGGACATGGAGCCGGGCCCCTCACCTGCTACCACCAGCTGCACGGGGTCGCTGGGCACTGAGGAGACGAAGGGCTCTGGTCGGGGCCGGTAGCTGCAGCTGTAGTTCCCTCTGTGCTGCCAGCCCACGGTGGGGATGTGGAACTCGGCCCCGTCCCCAGCAGGGTCCACATGTCGCTGCAGGTTCAGGTCTCCAGCCTTGTGCAGGAAGAACCTCACGTCCCGGCGCTGCCCCTGACACCGGATGGTGACGTCTGCCCCTAGGGGGGTGACCCAAGTGGGGCTCAGAGAGATGGAGGGTCTGGGTAAGTTGGGATCTGCGCACAGGAGACAGGCTGTGAGAACCAGACCCGGGCACCCACCCAGCCCCGTCCTCCAGCTGCAGAAGAGAAGAGTGAGGGGGGATTTGATAGCAGCCTTCAAATACCTGAAAGGGGGTTCCAAAGAGGATGGAGCTCGGCTGTTCTCAGGGGTGGAAGATGACAGAACAGGGAGCAATGGTCTCAAGTTGCAGTGGGGGAGGTCTAGGTTGCATATTAGGAAGCACTATTTCACTAGGAGGATGGTGAAGCACTGGAATGGGTTCCCCCGGGGAGGTGGTGGAATCGCCATCCTTAGAGGTTTTTAAGGTCCGGCTTGACAAAGCCCTGGCTGGGATGATTTAGTTGGGGTTGGTCCTGCTTTGAGCAGGGGGGTTGAGTAGATACCTCCTGAGCTCTCTTCCAACCCTAATCTTCTGTGATTCCCCGGCTGGCCCGAGGCACGGGCAGATCCAGGGGCCCCCTGGCAGAAATTCTCTTCCAGATCCAAGAGTTTTCCTGAGCCAGAATCCCGGCCCTGCGAGCTGGGCTCCCAAACCCACAGACACAGAGCCACGACTGCCTAGTTCTTGGGTTCTTCATATGCCGTGTGTGGCCTCTGCCTCATTCACTGTGTCCAGCCTGCCCTGAACACAGAGCAACTCACGCGCTGGACTTTGGCACCTGACACCGCAGGGCCTGAGCCCCACACAGGAAGGGAGTCAGCCCCCCGGGAGGCAGGGAGGGGTCTTTATCCCCATTCTACAGGCCACAGACAGATTCACTTTCCTTAGTGAGCTCCCAGGGGCAGGGACTGTCTCTTCACTCTGTGTTTATGCAGCGCCTGGCACAGCGGGGCCCTGATCATGGCGGCGGCCCTTCATGCTCCCCCAACACAAGGGATCCAGCGCTATTGAGGCCAGCATTTGTAGAGGTCTCCACTAACTGTGGGCGTCTCCGTTTGTGGGCGCTCAGCCGGAGATCCCCCAAGATTGAGGCCCCTCCACAAGGAAGGAAACTTTTGAATACTGCGACAAGTTCCCATCACACAGAGACTGTGGCTGTGCCAGGTGCTGGGCCAGATCTCCTGGGTCCCAGCCCAGCGCCGTGTCCACCAAGCCACCGCTTCTCCTGCAGCCCCTGCCTCATTCAGCTCCGGCCAGGGCACTGCCTGGGGCTGGGCCTGGCAAACAGAGGGGATGGGATCACGGGATTAAATAGCGACTCACGGTTCCTACGCACAAGGGGCAGCGTTAAAGTCGCCTCCCTGCCCTGAGTCTCCAGGGGCTGCTGCTCCCCCCTGGCTGGGGAACCTCCCAGTGACTCCGTCCCCGCACCCCGGCTGGGCCCAGGGCTCAGGGCAGAGCCTGGCTCTGAGCGTCCCATTGGCACCGAGCCCCCGGGAGGGTCTGGCTGGGGGTGGGGCTGGGAACGGGGACGCCGAGCCGGGCTCCTCACCTCTCAGCACCAGCTCCACGGGGTCGCTGGGGTACGACACGGTGAACGGCTCCGATCGGCTGTGATAGGAGCAGCTGTAGCTCCCGCCGTCTTCCCGGCGCACGTTGCTGATGGGAAACACAGCCTCAAATCTGTCCGAATCCACAGGTGGGAAATGGTGTCGCTCTTTATTCAGAACGAACCGCACGCCCCGGTGCTGCCCCTGACACCAGACGCTCACGGATCCCCCCAGGGAGACCCCTCCGCTGAGGCTCAGGGCAATGTTGGGTTTGGGGTAGCTGGGCTCTGCAGTGGGAAGCAGACAGGCCATGAGACACAGGCCCCGTCACTCAGTCCTGGTGCCCGTCCTCACCACAGGCCTCAGGGGTGGGTCAGACCCGGCGGCC